ATAGAGTAATATAAAAATAGATAATATATTATATTTTTTCCGAAGATTTATAGTTTATATAATGTATATTCTATAAAATCAATTAAAACAAAATAATGAAAATTATATATATGTTTACATCATAAACTTACTAAAAAACATCGAAAAATTTCTACTTGAAAATTGAAAAACCAATCACACTTCTTTTACCTTACACACTTCTTTCACCCTTGAATTCCACCATAAAACTGACTACCCTTTTTCCTGAAGCTTGTATGAAAAGCAAGGGTGTAAGCTCCACCCATTTCTCATTTCTCCCAATAAACATAAAAAGATGTAAATTTAAAATATTGTAATATTATATCTCTCTTTAATTTATATTTATTACAAAAATATTTATATAACAAAAAAAATATTTCATTACGTTACATGTAAATTATGTAGATATTACGAATTTATTATTTACTATTTCTTCAATAATTCTTATAAAGAATTATTTGTACAAAATTATTGTTTTATCTTTAACTTTTTTGACAATCTCTCCATAACATTTTTCTTTATAAATAATATACAACGCTCTAGTACACATTTTTTGGAATTGATCACAAAAGGGGTGATTATTTTTTTCATTCAAGGCATAAAAAGGGGGAAGGGTTGAAAGGATTGAGAGGGATAGAAATTTTTCTCACTAATATTTCAATATTTCATTGTGTGATTTCAACAATCTTTCAGTAGATAGTAAGCAATAACTTTAATAATGCAATTTTAAAAAGTTAATTGAACATTATGAAGATAACATTTAATATCTGTCAAATTATGTATCCAAGATTATTTTAAAACATATCAGAACGTTTATAAAAGAAGTGTACTGAAAAATACAAAATATGTATCTCACAAGTTACACATGTATTTATTTCTGCAGCTAAAGATTAATCATATTTAAATGTAAATATTATAGAAAATTATGATCTATTTTTAGAAAACTAAAAGTAATTTCTAAATATATGAACATATAAAGCATATAATACATATATATAAGTGTACAAAAAATAAAATAGAATTAAATACTGTTTTTTTATAAAAGCAATCCAAATTTTTTACAAGTACAAAGTTTCAACAACAGTTCTTGATATATAATACGTACACTTGAAATTATTACACACTTTCAAAGCTACCACTGATTCACATAATCCTGGCATCCTGACAATAGTTTGATACCAGGCACACTGCGAAGTAGATTTAACAACAGCCTGTGACGAACTGAGCTACCCTTTCCATGCAGAGTAGTCTGCGGGGTAGATCCAATACTATTCTGCCCAATCACAAGCGGCTCCCAACCAACCCCCAGGAGTTTCTCTTCTGTAAGAAACGTTGGAGAGGGACAGCGAGCAGCAGTCTCTGGGATACCGAGCATGCTCGGATAGAACAGTCGAAGTCCCATGTATCGTATCCTATCAATATAGACAGAAAACAGAAGAAAAATTGACCAATTTAATATTTATGCAGTAAAGATGATAGATGTTTTATTAGTATCTAACTTACTTGTGTTATTGGTGTACTTAGCTTAAATTATATAAAGATATATACTATGCTTACAATACTTAATTAAATGAAAAACATGAATATTTTAATGCACACAAGTCACAAATTGTTGAAGGAACGCAGTCAGTACTTTTGCTGCTGCAGCACCCTTTTTTTAGCAGCTACCCCTTTTTATGGAGAAAGGGGTTGCTGTACCCCTTTCAAAGGGGTTAAAATATAAAAGAGGGGAACTGTGTAATATGGCATTAGGAAGATCTTTTATCAAAGGACCAAATGGTAAATTGAATAATAGCAGTCAGAAGGTATGCTACTTTTTTACTTATCTTTTTTTTTTTTTATAATCACGAACTAGTGACACTTTTGTATTCAAATCTTTAAATTGTTAAAACTCATTCTTCAATTACAAGAAATATAATTTATTTTGACAGTATTTGTTATAACAATATAACACGTGATAAATCATATTAAATGATGTTTAAATATGATAGATAATCGCAAAATCAATAAAAAATATTTTTCTACTTTCTCTATAACCTAATAAATTTGATTATTTCCTTTTTTTATTAGGAAATGCTTGATGAAAGTGAAAAAAATAATGTTTTTACATTTAATCTTAAATATTATTTATATTTCTTTTTGTTAAAAATTTTGTTCATCGAATTAAACAACAAGATTTTTATTAAACCAATCTCACAGTGGTTAGGTTAGGTTGGGATTAAAGTTTCAACTGTTTCAAGTAGAAACATTCTTTATCCACAGAGCACTAGTCAGAAATATGATCGAGTTTCATAAGTTCACCACAGTTTACGACACAAGATTTCCTTGTTATTCGAATTTTATGTTTTCCATCTTTTCTCTTTTTCTTTTTGATGCCTAATTATATATCCTATTTCACTATAAGTGCAGAAAGTATAATATAGTGCCACTACAAAGAATTATAAAAAAATGAAAGAGTAGCCATATAGTAAAGTAATAGTAGTGTGTCACGATGTTTGTAATTTTATTATAACTTGTTCATTTCTTAGATATCACAAATTGAATAAATATCACTAAAAAATGACGCTATATCACTTCGGAAATTGTTTGGCATTGGTATACGTACCATACTATTTAACTTACAAATATTCTGGCTTGTAAGTATTATATTTTCGTTTCTAACCTAATTTTTAAATGGACATATAGTAAAGGAAAATATTTCCAGGTCGGAGTACGGTGCCTTCTGGAAATGCAATCAAGCCGGTGGTATTTACATATTCACGCAGCTCGTAAAAATGCTAGCACTTGCAACATTTTTTCCAACCGCTGACAACGTGGGAGAAGAGGGCTTTGATATCTTTGGAGTATATAATTATTAAAAGATATTTTCAATTTTTTACAATTAAATAATAATTATTAAAATTTAATGTGTTCAAACTGACAAAGCAACTAGCCTGCCAAGCAATTAAACGTGATTGGTTCTTATCTTTAGTGAATAAATTGATAATAAATTTGTCATCAAGTTAACATCAAGTTCCTGTACTATATCATCATAACCAGCAAATTAGCAATCTGACAACTTGACTGGAACAGACATGTTTTGTGTCGATGCAGGTATTGCATCGTCTGTAATTTTTTTTTAAGTTTTCTAGAAATTTATCAAATGTATTTTGCATACTCATGTCTTGATGTCTTTCAATTTTACTTCTCTGTAACTACCCTGTAGAAGATTGGAAGCATCTATATCCGGTAGTAAAGTTTTTCAAAAACAGGTCTTGCAAAATCTTGCTACAAATTTTGTTATCAAGAAGGAAAAAATGGAACAAAATATGATTTATCAGATGATGTCGACAAAATGTTAACACATATATAACAAAATCTGCTGACATAATTTAATAGCAAATTGACAGTAAAAAACAAGATCTATCATTTTTATTTAAGTTTCATTATATTTGCCATGAGATGGATATACTTCTTATAAGAAAACATCTAAAAATTCTATACAAGAAGACAAATTAGCTAGTCTCCTGGAGAGATTCACCAGCTCTTTCAAAGTATGATTTTTGAATGCAAACTTTACTAGTAAAATATGAATTTATTCACACAGATTATATTAATAGATTTTATGTATATTTATCACCAAATTGCTGATATATAACAGAATTTGTATCAGTAAATTCGGTGTCTTTTTGTCAACAATATTTATACCAAATATTTAATAAAATTTGTTTTTAACAGACTTGGTTGACTGGGTATTTATAAATACAATCAATCACTCGGCAAGCAGACTAACAGCTTTGTCCAGCTTTGCATATGATCATTCTGTCATTTATTTTATATTATCTAAAAGTAAAAAACATCCCTAATTTATTTTTGCTTTCATAAAAAGCTTTGCATCCTTTTATAAATAAAAAATACATTTTAGGAATTTTTAAAGTCGTCTATTGATCTGGCAGACTTAGTAGGAATTTTATTGGTACTAAATAGTATACCTGGCAAAGGGCATGCCAAAGTATTAACTGCTGGTATAGGATGGGCAGGAGCTGAAGTACTGCTTACAAGATTTTTATTGCTCTGGGTTGGAGCGCGTGGCGCTGAGTTTGATTGGAAATACATTCAAAAGAGTCTTGAATCAAATATCAATTTGGTAAAAATTTATAATTTATACTTCATGATGAGAAATTAACATACATGCAAGGAAACTTAGATTTGTGATTTATTTCTAACAGGTGCAACACATAACGACCGCAACATTGGTTTGGTTATGGTCTAGACATGATTTACGGCGTGGTTTAGTTCCTATTGTAGTTGGTATGCTTGTACTTACAATATATAGGCCACTCATGCTAGACTTTCTTTCATCTCTTTTATTAGCTGGACCATGGTCAACACTTATTATTAAGGCGATCACTACCTTTTTCATCGGTGCAACAACGTTGCATATTTACGCAGGTCTTGCGCATTCAATTGGAATTTTCTGAAATTCATATATGAATTTATGTACATATTTATTGTAACGATTGTACGATTGCATTAATCGTGTTCTATTTTTTAATAATACCATAATTGTACATTACATAATAAATGCTGCTGTTGTTGCATTTGCATTATACTTTTTTATCTTTATAATTTTATATTCTAAATTTCATAATTTGAAAGTACTCTACATCAAATATTATATTCAGCAATAATCTTGTGAACAATAACCTGTGTAATATATTATATGGGAGAAAAGAAAAGATTTTTTAAATTGATATTATATTTTTCTTAAATAAAAAATTTTTTTAAGAGAATAGGAATACCAAAAAAATATATAGATTTTTCTAGATATAATAATACTATGAAAAATACTTTTGCATTAATGCATGTTGCATGACTTTTGGTCATCTCACTGGACACTGATTTTCTTAATTCAGAATATACAGTATGAATATTTTTATTCAATTTTTTAAATAAAAGATATAAATAAATTTAAAATATAGAATGATTATTTTTGAATTCTTTAAATTTTATTAATAAAACACTTATAATTTTTTTCTTATGATAGATCCATTACTTTGATTCATATCTTCGTTTTATGAATATTCTTTTGAATAATGGCCGAATGCGATCTCTCATTTTAGCTTTTATTCTAGAGACTTTATTGCAGTT